ATACACTGTAGTGCTTAGTGCATTTTCATAATACTCATACAAATTTTATGTTTAGGCAGTGGCACCCGTCTTTGTTTCCTGGCAGCTCTGTAGGCATTCAGCAAAGTTTAATTTCAGCTAATTATACAACCTTTTGTGCTTTAGACTTTTACAAAATTTCCAGGATTTATGTGGGGTGATAAATTTTTGGAAGGAGTTTTTTGTCTTCTGATTTTAGATTCTGTTAACAGTAGGTTTTCCCTTGCACAGCTTATGCAGCTATTTTGTACCTAATTTTTTCAGAACTTCAACATCTACAAGCGTATTGTGCTGGAGATCCTGTCCATGCCTGATCTGGACCGTGCTGACTCCTACCGGATGTGGGCTGACCTCAGAGACCTGCTGTTGGACCTGGTATGTAACATGTGGTGAAAGCTGACATGTTTCAAGTCAGTGGATACAACACACATTGAAGCCTATATGTAATAGATACATGCTCCTTAAAATGCGTATCAGGCCCTAATTCTTGGATTCCTCCATACAAAATACATGTATAGGCCACCTGATACAGCAATATATAGTATATGAATTGTCATACATGACATATTTATGAAAATTATGCTGCTGAAAGGTAATCCAATGAATAGCTGCAACATGAACGATTCATGTAAAACTGGTACTAGTATTGCTCACCAAGTCCACATCTGGTTCCACAGTGTGAGAACATGTCCAAGTCATCAGAAGCCAGCAGCCCGGCCCATGAGGAGTTTGAACAGATGCTGCAGATTGCACACTACTATGCTATCAGGTCTGCATGTATGGGACAGAAGGGCATGGTAAGTACACATGACATTGTATATATTTGTTTGCTTGTTGTTCACATAACTGATAAACCATCTTAAGGTGTAGCACACCGCTTTTTATGGTAAGTACATGTTACCTAAGACAGGGCTGTAAGGTTGGAACCACTTACACTATAATGGACCCCTACTAATGATTGTTGTTTTGAGCATGTGCAATTATGTCAAAGTGCAATGTAACCATGTTCAATTTTCATTGACAGGAACACATTGTTGCTCGGCTATCTGTGTCCCTGCTGAGACACTCAGACATCATACCTGCTGACAAGGCCTTCTACGAGGCTGGTGTTCACTGTAAGGTGAGCTGCAAATTCCTGTATTTTGGTATTTGGAGTAAACAGAGTATTTAGCCTTGTTGTGCATTACGTGGTTGTAGAACAAACTTTGAAAGAACTTATGAAGTGTGAAAGTTATCATCTTGTACGACAGACACCTGAGGTGAGGCTGAACAATGTAAACATTTGAATGTTGCAGAATGCTATGTCTCACAATCTCTCCCATGTTAATCTCATTAGTCCTGTTTTTAATTTTGTTTCTCTACCTAGTCCATGGGGTGGGAGAACATGGCATTTGTGTTCCTGAACAGATACCTGGATCTCAGTGAAGTAAGTAGCATGATGCTTACATGGTCATGTACGTCATGACTTAATTTTACAAAATACAACAAACATGTCAAATGCCACATTTATCATTCTTGAATAGTTTGTTTTTTTGTTCAAGACTATCATTTTTGCTTTGCTCTAACTTGTACAACAGTCTTTATTCTTGTGTGGACCAATTGAAAGTACTTGTCATGCAACAGCATTTTCTTGCAAGCATGTATACTACTCAGTCCTGTAGTTATTAGTCATTTCATAACATATTTTACTATTGCAAAAGTTTTGGGCCATCAGTCCTAGCCTAATTCTAACAGATACAACAAAATTCATTGATTGTTTGAACTTGTATCAGCATACATAGTCATTATTGAATGTACATGTATTTGATTGTAGGCTATAGAGGAGGGTTCCCTGGACATGTTGGACAACAGTGACTTCCAGGATACAGACATCCCCTTTGAGATCTCCTTACCAGAAAAGCAACACCTTCCTGTAAGTACTACTGTCATGTTCAAGCAAGTTACATAATTATACATTGTATAGGTGTATATGTACATGTATTAGCCTTTAGCTTACTCAGCCATAGTGCTTGATATAAACACCATGCCCCCCTCCCTGTTCAGGATGACAAGCGAGAGGAGGTGAAGGAGTGGGTGTTAGCCGTGTCCATGGACCAGCGGGTAGAACAGATCCTCCCCATGGACGAGCGTGACACGTACGAGGCCTCGCTGGTCGCCATCAACACCGGCATCCGCTCACTGCCCTGTGTCGTCACAGGTAACACACTAGCCTTTTCTTGCTAGCCATGTGTGGATCGGTGTGTATTCCTGTTTAATTCCTTCTCAATTTCGCACCATATAACCGTTGTGCCACACACTTTTTCAATCACTACAGCAGGAGGCTAGTCCAATGGTAGTGGTGTGTGTTAAACTACATGTACCATACATACTCTTTCCCAAAATTGAAATAGTGCTAAGCAAAATATGTATATTCAAAGTACATGTAGTAATACTGTAACAATAAATTCCAATAATCATAGTACAAACAAAAAAAATGTAACTATTATTCCTGGAAGTGACAATGCATTGTTGTCGAAGTAGCATATTTTGAAATTTACCCTGAGCTCTGCACTTGTTTAGGGTACCCTGTACTACGTAACAAGGTGGAGTTCAAACGTCCAGGCAAGGCTGCCAACAAGGATGACTGGAACAAGTTCCTCATGACAACCAAGGTCAGTCTCTGTCAATGTCTTCATCTATAAATCCTTTTTTTTCACTTTTCAAGAACTTAACTTAATGTTTAGCAACACATTTATTGGTTACATTTACAATGGTTATTGTGTAACAGTTTTTCCTTCCATGCCACAGATGACCCACAGTACAGAGTGCCAGGATGTGTTGAAGTTTGTTGGCAACTGGTGTGGGGCCACACCCAACCCCAACTTCTCCTTCCAGTAAAGTACACACAAAATGTAGGGCAGCACTGTCTGTGTTGATACCTGAAAGGGTACCATCAGAGCCGGGTTACAAAGCATGGAGTAGTGCTTTTGCATGGTTTTGCAGCAATACTGCTTCTCAAGAAATAATTCATATCAACTTTAAATCAATCATTCCGTCCAGTCTAGAGGACATTTAGCTATATGCTACAATTTACTGCTGATAGCAAAGTAAGTTAGAGATATATAAACTGTATCACTGAATTTGAAGATGTACACATATTGTACATTTATTATTACATGTATCAGAGAATATTGGCATTGTAATCATGATAGAGGTTTACAAGTCTTAGAGTGATATTCTGATATACAGAAACTGTGCTCATTGAAAAGATTTAAATTAGCACACTTAAATAGGATGTCAGATAGATACATTGTACATGTGTATGTTTCCAGTGGTTATAATCACATGGTTCCTTCACAAAAGTGCAAAGTACTAATAATAGAAAGATTTTATTTGCACATGCATGAAATCACAAGATATTTCATAAACGTGTTATTTCAAGATATGACCTTCCTACCAGATCTTGTTGAGTTTTTGTGCTTTGTAGTCTGTGTGTTGTAGTTGTCACAAGAGACATCAGGGACAGTTGTCATGTTGTCTGAAGTGTACAAGACTTAACTCCAAACTGTACCAGTACTTATATGTTGCACTGTAATGTATGGTTTTCATGAACAGAGGTAAATAAAAGTTAATCAATTTGTGGTGAAAAATGCTGTCTCCTGTTTTACTGACTGTGTTAATTTGCCTCTATTGGGCCTTCCTAAAGGTGAGGAATAGTACTAAAACTTGGCAACTCAGGACATAAAAATCAAGTGAGACAAAATACTTGAAAATGGGTTTTAATCTCAGTAAACATTACTGCTCCAAATGAGGCCTCTTGATATCACATAGTGGAAAAGTATAAAAAGCTATCAAAGCTACACACATAATACATCTTTCAACATGTCATATAATCTGTTTATATGTGTGGAGGCAACTATTTTACACATTTTATTGCACATTTTGGAGGATTTTCAGTGGGTTCCAACTTCAAACATCTCGTGAATTGAATCCTCACTTGCAAAAACTTTTTTAAAGAAGAGGAATTGTGTCCCACAATATCATCTTTTAACACAAAAGTATCCTAGACATTCTACAAATCATTAACACAGAGAAGATATAATTCAAACTCAATTCTGTAGTATAGTGAAATGACAGTTATTAAAAAACAACATTTAATGCATCCTTTAGTGGATATTATAAGCCTGATATTTGATAGAGATGCTGCTATTTATGTATCATTGTAATTATCTCAACCTTGGTAGTTGCATTTTTGAGTGGTTAAACCTGGTTCTCCTGGTCATTCCTTGATGTAGGGAATCAGGTTCTTGATGAACCATTCCTTGCTGAACTGGAGATGGTCAGTGTCGGAGCTAAGGAAGACCAGCTTTCCCTGACTGTCCATTTCCTTCAGACCAAGGCGATCCTGGGCAGTTGAGAAAAAAAAATATGTTGTTATACTTTTGTCTAACTTATAGTTTCTAAAATCATCTGACAAAGGAGGGACAAGTATTGCAACTTTTCAGCACCCATTTAGAGGAAGCCACTGAGAAGTACTACCCTAATCTAAAAGATTATTACTATTAGACACATTGCAACTGTAGAAACCTTACCTCTGTATACAGGGTTGTGTTGCGAAGGTCTTGCAGTTCAGTCGATGAGCCTGGCTTGTAAAATCCAAACCACTGAAAAAGAACAGTAACATGAACCTTTAAGAGTGCAGTAATTGGAACATGATGTACATCAGACCTTAAAATCATATAAAAGCTACCAAAGAGTATAAACAATAACTCATTTTTAAACAACATATTGTTTTTGCTCTGTTTCTGAATCTTTTCTGCAAACAAATGTCAATGACCTGGACCAAACAGCTGTCACCATAGTACTAGTGCCTGGTGCAGATACCCTGTGATATTAAATTATATTATGTAGCAGAGCTGAGTTGAGTATGTTTGAGAAACACTTTCAGTTTGTTAGGTTAAATAAACAATTCCAGTTTGTTGGGCTAGACCATTATGTATTTGCTTTGTAGATGTTACTTCACCCTCAAACTCTACAAACGTAGTTGAATTCAATTCTATCAATTGCATGAAGAGATCCCGCAGCCCTGCCCACCTCACTCTCCCTAGGTTCCACCATGGTGTCCTCTGTAAACTTCACCATCACAAACTTCTTCAGCTTCATCATGTTAGTCTTGTACGTCTGGTTCACCATCTAACAACAGCAAGGGAACAGTCATGGTCAGCTAGGAGGATGGTTCCAGTCAACATGTCTGGTTAACCATGTCTAAATATGGGATGGTCAAGTCAGTCCTCAACCATACCAAGGAAACAAAATGAGGACATATTGCTCATGACATCTGATACTTAAATATGACTGTGTGTGTAATTGACAGCCCATGTGCCACCTGTATCAGATATATATGTACTACTACTAAGTATATAGATAAAACTTTTAAAAACTGACCAAACTTGCAACAATTGCTTTGATTTCATTCACTTTTCACTGTTGATTTCTTAAGAACTATAATAGAATTTTGATACATACAGATAATTTTATAGTAAAAGGTAATTCACTTACACTTTCTTGGTTGATGTCACCCAGGAAGACACTAGCTTTCTTGTACTCTTCCTCATTGAGTGGGTCATGCCAGTACTCAGCCTGCACCAGACTGCAAGGGTGATGGGGGATGAGAACAATTAAGCATAAGTACATCTTTATTTGTTAGGTCACATGAGATGCAAACTTTATTGTTAATTTGATTTAAGAAATAATGTTTCAATTATAAACTGAAAAAAAAGCTGAAACTCTTACAAGCTCTGCACGTAGCTGTTGTAGGCCCCTAAGTTCAGCAGCTTCCTGACATAGTCACAGAGGGTGGAGTTGTCACCGGGGCAATGGGGGAAACCATACACACCTGGGGATAGGATTATAGATTTATTAGAATATTAGCATCATTAGACTATCTTCATTGTTATTCATAAAAGTAGATTTCGTTTCTTAGAATTCTAGAATATTAGCAACAATTCAAGTTCTACATGTGTATAAGTTGCCATACTGCTACAGTTGTTGTTCAACAAAAGTTATAACTGAGTCTAGGGGCAACCAATGGTAAGAAACCTTCCTCACCTTGGTGCTGCCCACCTACAGAGATCAAGTTCAACATGGGAGGGTTGGGGCATCTCTGGGCAACAGCACGCCTGCACAAACAACACAGAAAAGCATGATGTGTCAGACTTTTCATTTTGAACCCCCCAAAAAATTGACAACAGCTGTCTAAGGGTACAGGAACAGAAATCCATCAATAATATACAGTGGACAAAGCATACTCACAAGAACTGTCCCCCCTGTGAGAAGCCTATGGCATTGTAGCCATTGGCCAGTTTGGTGTCTTTGGCCAGCTTGTCACACACCATGGTCACTTGCTTGTTCACATTCATCAGGAAGCCGTTCTCTGTGTCCTGTTATTACAGTTATGGTTAACACATGATGAGTAAAGAAAGGCATATGCACTTCTCAAGTTCTCACTGGCCTGTTTACCTGAACAGAGTCCAAAAGCGACTCGGTAGCTAAAATAGGTTCGGTAACCAGACTACATGTAACTTCTTACTGCTCAAATCAGTTTTAAGTTGGTAACGATAACATTGAGAAAGAGGAAAAAAGCCAGTCGAATGTCTGATTTTCAACCACCGTTCATACCAAGTCATACCAAAGACTAAAGTTGTTGACATAATAAATGTTTGGCACCTCTATGATATTACTGCCGATCTCCAGTGACCTGACGTATATGTCCTTGACCTGTTCCTCCACCATGGACTTGATACTGCCCATGCTGATAGGGTTACAGCAGCTGTCACCTGGAAAACAGCATCAGGGGGCGATTCACTGGATGAGTATCAATCTGCAGAAGATGTACTTTGGGAACTTTTGAGTGAGTCACTGACTGTAATTTTATGTCCTAATATTGGAGTGATGGAGATTTTCGAAGAGCTAGATAACCAGCTTTATATATACAAGTACAGTAGAATCCTGCCTTGACACTTCGACCTGGATAAGGTCACAACGTTGCCCCCATCTTGCCTGTTTACTCAAGATATGCTGGTCCATTTCTGTCTACACAATTGGGGTCAAAATACAGAAGTCCATATAAATTTTTTGCGGAAGTCTTAACCCCCTCCCCGCTCACTAAAGTGGAGTCCCTGTGCGCGGCCATGAAAGAATGGTAAGAGAGTAAGGATGTCAGTATTTTGTGAGTGTTACACTTACCCATCCCATGCCATATGACGAGCGGAGTAGGAGCGGTCAGCGCAGAAGAGGCGAACAAGCCGCAGACGACAAAACTCACCAACACGAAAGACGCCATCTTGGTTCATATGTAATGGTCATGTGATTGAGGGACGATCCAGTCATGATCGTGAGGGAAGGAGATGGGAGGAAAGAGCACACCGTTTACGAGAAGGAACGTGTCCATCCAAGGAGGTTATGCTAGAGGGAGAACCCCATCAGTCTATCTAGAAAAGAAGCACGGGAAAGTGCTGCCATGGGCAATGATACTATTCTGCTGAACACCTTACGTCACTTCTGGTTGCTTCTTGGTGCGTGCAGTGATGCACAGTGGGTTGCATCAAGGTTGTATTCTACCTCTATGGTTGCATCAGAGACCTTTCATCAACCCCTTGGTTGCATGCAAGCTCTATGAGCGAGCATAATCATAGTAGTCAATACATGGTCAGTTTACAAAAACTACTGTCTGTAATTTCCATCTATGACTGAAAACTGCCATATTTCCATACATATTCTTTTGCCTCGTTAAGCCAGAAGAGCGACAGCTCCTGCTAGTGTTTTTCATGGCAAGGTGCGAAAGAAATATAAGCCATGCTTTCATTAGGCTATTTAAATTTTTAGATCAGCTTACGAAAACTAAAATTTCAGTATGCACAAACTACATTAATGCAACTACAAATGCATCACCAAAAGTAGAGTCAGTGCTGCCCTGATGAAGGCAAATGAACGTATATTGGTTGTGCATGTGCCAACCAACAATAGATATCATACAATGAATGTACCAGTATTTGTAAACAATCACATCATACACTGGCTATGGTTGTAATAATTTAATGGCACATCTTGTAATACAATGTACACAATGTACCAACAATCTAACATGATCTGGCCTCGGTTGTCTTAAATATAGTGCCATCAGGAACACTTTAAATAACTGGTATGTAACAGCTTTACCTCATTCAAAGTCATACCTATTCAAACAGGAATTTTGATACTCAGTAGTCTACAACTTACTAGTATTCATTAACCCTACATTGCAACCCAGTGGTAGCGAGCAAAAAGGGTGAGCCTGTACGTGGTAACTACAGAGGATAGCACCCAGGCTATAGCTAATGTAAGGCATCATCAAACTCTACATGTAAATATACATTTGAGATTGACACCTGACCCAAATCAATGACTGGCATAGTCACTATAATTGAAAAGGAACTCTGTAATATGTTAAACTAACCACCTTCTCCTTGTATCTAAAAGTTAGCGCCAGGATTTCTATTGGTAGGGCCATCACAGATCTTTACTTCCCACATCATTGCGTATCAGTATTTCATATCAATTTATCGACAAGCTGAGCAACTTATATTCCAATACTGAAAAACTTTCCTCACACCGCATTATCTGGTTAACCCTTCAGCACAAATGCAGTGTTCTGTTAAAAGTGACAACTCCAACATGGAAAGACATAATTTTGCATCTAAATATTCAAACAATCCTCCTACAATCTACTAACACATGGTAGTACTTTTGTGCTATTCTCATTTTAGGTGTGGGCATCAGTAAGAACTACTTTGATATAAACATTTTTATTGTTATGAAGCCCTTCAGCAAACCTTTGTTATCATACAATATCATGTAAGATAGGTTATATATTAAATATCAAATGTTTACTTTGATAGTCTTTTGTTGCATGCAACTCATAGCTTTCTTTCACCAAAGCCCAGATCTGAGACCAATGCAGTTCTCAATATAATCAGTAGTGTCATGTATACATCATTTCTGCCATTGCTGACATTTTCTTTGGGATGTAAACCAGCTGATCAAAGTATCCAGCCAGGTCCTCTATGGAGGTATCATCTAGCCTTGCCTCCTGTGAACAAGACCGTTCCAGTTTGTGCTTAGTTTTTGTGTAGGATGACAGCTCCTTGCTGTTAGCTCGCTGTGCTGTGGTCTTATCAACATGCCCTTTCTTCTTCAGGTTTTCCACCAACCAAGAACTGTCTTTCCGATGCCACTCCGGCAGGTGCTTCCTCACAGCAAGCTCTCGATGTTCCCTGAACGACTGCTTGTCCTTTCTTGACACCGATGGAGAGGCCTTACACTTGCAGAGGCATGAGGCCTCTTTACACTTGTGTTCCTTCACCAATCTTTCAAAATTGAGTACCTTGGCAGAAGTCTTGAAGGATGGTTTAACAGCAGCTTTATCCTTGCCTTCCTCTACCTTCAGGCTTTTTGATGAACAACTTCTAACTTTCTCTCCTATTTCACAGTTAGGCTTCTCTAGACTCAAAAACTTTATCTCTGTTTTAGGCACAGTATTGGACTCTACGCTACAGGTATCCTTTACTTTCACACAACCTGCAAGCTTTAGACCCTCTTTGCTGTTGACATTATCATCTTTGCTCCCTGAAGTCCTTCTGTGTGCCTCCTGTGATGAGGAAATTCTCAGCTTCCTCAGGACTTGTACGTCTAACCCATCTGAAGGGTACGGCTCCATTCTATGACTCTGAGGTCGAGATGGGAGGCATTTTCTTCCACTGTTGTGTCTAGAAGTCCCCTTTGTCTTTCTGGTTCTCCTTTCATCCTGTTCTGGGTCATGACTGCAAAATCAAGGACATTGAGTGTAAATACTATAATATTGAAGCCCCAAAATATTCCAATCATACATTGTATTTAAGTACTACCCAGTAGTATATTGTCTAACATGCTGCCCCAACGGCTGACTAAGCTACAGTAGAGAGTGAGAATGAGTGAGATTGTCTGATAACATGATACATCTGTGTTTACTATGGAACATTAAATAGTAGATGATACCCCTTTAAGTACATCTGTACATGTCAAAGAACTTGTTTATGATATTAAAAAGATGAGCTCAACATATGCATGTTTGTTTCATCACCATTCACTAGCAATGGTTTCAAAGACAGTATTGGTGCTGTAAATTATGAAATTTTGTGGTGGTTTCATTTCTGAGAAGGAGGGAAAGGAAGGTTTATACCGGTGTTCAAAACAATTCTGTATAACAGTACACATGTACAAGGAAGACATATTCACTGTGTCATGAATTTGCAGTGAGGTCACAGGGCTCCAAATTAACTTTTTGACCTAGGAGCACTGTGCTCCTAACCATAAAAAGTTAGGAGCACAGGCTAAAATCTAGGCGCACCAACAAAAAATATTGTATTGCAAAAGTATTACTGTTAATATATTAAAAACTAAGCTAGATCATATTTCCTTTAAAAAAAATTCTATCAGCTTCCTTAATTTTGAAAAAATTGGGCATAGGTTCCCCGGATGACCCCTAACCGGGGGCCAACGGTGCTTCCACAAGTTCAACAAGTGAAAAATACATGATACAAAATGTACATGTATTTACTACCTGGAACTTGGAGCAATTATTCCCAAAGGTGTACCTGACATTGATATATTAAAACCTAAACCAAATTCTATTTCCCAAACAAATCACATATTGACACAGCTGAACAAATAAAACTGTGATCATGTCTATAAACTCCACTCAAAAACAATTTTTGAGAGACACTCGGGTCGCGATACTAAGCATGATAATCTCTAATATCTCATCTGATTCTCCCAATGTATTAGGGACTTCACAATCACAGCATCCAACCGCAATAACACAAGAAACCAATAAATTCGGAAAATTTCTCAGTAATGTTTGTAAATTAATCTTATAAAAATATAAGTGAATTTTTATTTCAGTTGTAGCCGAAAAAATTTTTTTAATTGCGTTT